AATGTTTTGTAGGCATGCCTCATGCTTTCACTTGAAAATGATTACCCTCCAACATATCAACTGGCTTTGGACATGCTGAAGGTATTATTGTTCCAACACTGCTGCATTTCCTGTCTTAGGACTCAGCAAGATTCATACATGTAGCATTATAAAAAAATCCAATAAAGACAATTTATGTTGTATTTCAGTTTACACCCATGAGGTGATCATTCTTATATCACAAACATCAGCCAGATGTACTTCTAAAATATGATAAACGTTATTATTACAATCATAACTATAACAAAATTCTCAAATCTGGTTGGCTATCAACTGTTCTGATTTCAGCACCAATAGGACAGTGTAATAGGACTACAGGTCATGCCTTGGACAGTATGTACTATTGCACATGTGCACTTAAATAGCTGTCCAAATTCCTTGTGATTTGATTTTAAAAAAGGCCTAAAAATATCACACATTTTGTTATAGTTATGATTAATTGCAAACAGAACTTCATGTCATCCATACTCATGTATAAGCAGATCAGAGTCCCGAGCACGCAGTCATCCAATTTGTTAATCACTTGAATGATTACACACTGAATTGGACTCCACTCAGTCCAATTACCATATGATTATTTATCGTTATTATTATTAATATTATTGTTTTTTTTCTCAGAGACTTAACACTGCTAATGAGGAAATAATTGAAGTTCTCCTGTCCAAACAACAGGTTAGTCTTGCGTCATTCATGATTAATTTCTTTCAAATTATTGCATTTGACGTATTTCTCTTCTTGACCCGGCCATTTCATTTTGTATCATTTTTATTACCTAACTCTTTTCCCCTTTGTAGCTTTTACCAGCTCTACGTTACATTCGAGCCATTGGTGCCGAGGACTCTGCCTCACCAAGGAAGTTCTTAGAAGCTGCAATGAATCCAGAGGATCCCATGCTTTTCTACACTGGTATGTATGGTTCTGTTGAACATAGTCTGTTGCTTTGGTTCTTTATCATTATCACACTTCAGCTCTCTAGCCATCTCTTTGCATGGGTACAAGTGACATACTTATGGGATAATCCTAGGATGGACCTATACAATGGGAAGTAGTAAATACTCTAAGATGCTACTAAAACTTGAATAAGCTTTGGCTTTATGTAGGCCTCCTTTCCTTGTAGTGTGACTTTACATGATATACCCATGATAATCATGCTATTAAGCTATTTTAATTTTTTATTTTTTTATTAGATTAGCCAATTCTTGGCAGGGTCACTGCAACAGCAGAGGCTATTACTGCGTGCCCATAACAGTCCCTTTCCCCCCATGAGAGATACACCACCACCCGTGGATTACTTCCCCTACTCTTTTAGACTTGAAAATTAAGTCCCTTTAGGTTCTCTGGGACAAGTAGATTTTCTTGCTCAGGGCATGTAATTTGTTTTAAGCTTCCTTGCCCAGTGGTCAAGTGTCTTGTAACTAAATACAGCTAGCAATTAAAGAAAAGCAAGCAATGGCACTATTATAGGCAAGCAAAATTTATTTGAGTTGACAAATTTTTTAAGCCCTGGTGCCACTCACATGTGACCTCTGATCTCGCAGCACTCCTTAACTTGAGAAGCTGCTTGCAGGCTAGATCCCTATAGGTACTTGGCACTTGTAAAATTTAATTTGTTGCCTCTGTCATTTACATGTAGGTTGAGGGTTGTAACTTTGGCTGCAGGGCTTAAGAAAAGTAGTAGTGACTTTGGGCAACTTGTGTAAATTAACCCCTGCTAAGTATGGGTAGCCCCAGAGGGAGGTTCTACAGTTGAACCTGAAAACATCTTTATAGTCCTCACTGCTGTTGTGTAACTGTTGTCTTTTCTTTTTCTGTTTGTTGTTTTTTGTTGCAGTGTTCAAGTTTTTTGAACAACGTAATATGAAGTTACGTGGAAGCCCCGAGTTTGTTCCTGGTAAGTCATAAGTAGTACCATAAATTCATATTGACATTTTTTTAAGGGACTACCCCCTCCCACCCCTTGTGTTTGTAAGCAATAAAATTAATTCCTCACAGATTTTATTTGGACGATCTCTAAAGAGAAGTTGAAATAGAGGGTGAGTGAACAGGCTAATCCAGTACCAACTTATGCTATTTTCCATTATACAGGTGAACACTGTGAACCATATGTTAAAAGGTTTGAATTGTTGTTTGGATCAAGTCGGAGTGGAATATCTCAGGGCAATGGAGGAATCAATTAAACAAAATGCAAGGGAGGCCATGTTGAGAAAGAGATTAGAAGAAACTTGGAATGAGCTGGAAATGTAGCCTCCCATGCAGACGTTCTTTTGGCTCATCATGCAAACCTCCCTTGTGGGGCAGGAGCTCATCGATCAGATATGTGCTTTGGAATAAGTTCTCTAGGTGAACTATAAGGATCTTTCAACTGGCCAGTAAGTCAGTGAGTTTTAGTTTGGACTGATGCAGGACAAAATATGAACAGAGAGTACAGTAGAACCCTGCCTTACGGCCACCTCGTTAATACAGTCACCTCGTTATTACAGCCACTTTTTTGGCTGCCCGAGCAAAATTGTCTATACATTTTTTTGTAAAGAAACCCTCATTAATACGGCCAATTTATTTTGGCCCCTTAGTGACCATAATAACGGGGTTCCATTGTATGAATTTTCAACCAGCTACATACATTAGAACTGTACTGTGAAACTGTGCTTTATGGACACCCACTAAATATGGACACCTCATTATTATGGATAGTTTGCTGTCCCTCAGGAACGAAAGCCTATACGTTTTCTCTAAATTCAACCCTCTTAATATGGACACCCCATTAATACAGGCACTTTCTATGGCCCCCTCAGTTTCTGTATTTAATGGGGTGACTGTACCTCATTCTTGTTGGCAAGAAGATTCATAGACAAAAAATTTGATTGATCTACTTAGTTCATAAAGTAACCTGGCCACTGAAATGTTACCTTAGATAAATAATTTTCTGAGAATCTGACATTTAGAGCACTAGCTAGCCTTTTGCAACTTCTTTTCTAACTTGCAATCTCAGTTACTGCAGTCACGCCTCTAAGCCCATACTCAGTATCACAGGCCAAACTAGAAATACTAACTTTTGTCTGGGTGGCCTGTTCTCTCCATTATTTTCTTCCCATATGAGCAAACAAGTGACAGCTCTGTGTAGGTAGTGCATCATGGTAAGTGTGGGGTGGAAACTTAAAACTTATACCTATTAATATCATGGGTGACGAATTACGTTCCCATTGAGAAAGCTAGAACGTCTTTAACGTACATGCTCGACTAGACTGTTCACAGTCCTCTATTTTCCCGTAAGGTTGTCGAGAGTTACGGGTTGCCATCTTGAATGAGTGTCAAAACTACTTAGGGGGTGGGGGGCGGTTTTGGCCCCTCTCCCCCTAGAGCTACATGTATAATCCCCAACGCCTGCCCCCTCGGTACATTTGAAAATCAAGATGGCCACAATTAACGGTAAGACACGTTATATCACAACGATCTCATGGAAAAATAGGGGACTGTGAACAGTCTAATGCTTGATAGGTTGCTAGCCAGGTAGTTTGCTCCACTAGCCTCAGACAATTGGACAGCACTTTGGTTGCATCCTGATACACAAGAGTGCTGGTATTTAAGACAAAAAGAACACATATGAACTTGTTTTATCAGTTTTTTAATCATTTTATAAGAAAATGATTTTTACAGTTGCTTTAAGTGGGTCATTCGATGTATGTGAAGAAATTCCTTTTCAAGTATTTTCAGGCTATTACATACAGTTTGCTGTAACTTTTCAAAAAAGACTTTTTGTAATAATAAATAGGGTAGGATTTCTGTCATTAGCAATGCAAATAAGAGTTTTCAAAAAAAGGTAATTAAATTAGGGTGCAATTACCATAATTATTCCGTTTTTTTAAAAATTAAATTATCAATTGAATTATCAATACACTGAACGTTACTTTGGCATAATTTTAAAATTTTCAAGTTTCCCTTAAAAAGTGCACCACCCTGCAAACTGAAAGTATTAGCCATGAAATAAGAATTTGATCTTTCAGGTCTTTACAAACTGTTTCTATATTTTCTTTTTCTTTCATACTCAACACTTCTTGAACATCGTTGTTTAGTTTCTCTTGTTATAAAATTTTGCCATGTTTAGCCATTACAAGGTTATTATTTACAAGATGCTTTTTTCTCAGCACATAACACTCAGAGATATTAAATTACAATATGAAATGTACATTATAGCTATAAATAATAATACATAATGTGTGATGACAATGTAACTTAACACTATGTACAACATATATTGTATAATTTGAATAAAACTATATGGAAGATTCATCTAGAAGTTTTTTTTTCTGTTTGTTATAAAATCTGTTGTAATATAGTAAATTTGAAAATTTCCTATTTATTTATGAAATTTGCTATGTTTGGAGAGACACAGGTGGTCCACTGTGAATATCACTGTCTGATTCCCAGTTCCCCTCTGATATGATTGGACGAGGAGGTGCAAAGATGTTGGGAAACCTAAAAAAATGGACAGGACAAAGAAAATTTTAGTTGTGTAAGAAGATTAATGAAAGATGTCTAACTAGTACCGAAGTAGCCTATACCAATAATTATTTAGGAAGTCACAGTGGTTACCTATTAGATGGCACAACATTTTGATACATGTAATTTTAAAAGGGAGTTTTTGAAACTGAAAACTATCAATATACGAGGCTGAGTATGATTGCCCGGGTGAATGTAGTCCTGAATAGGACTGTTGTTGTTGACAGTGAGAGACTGCGGCAACTTGTGCAGTAGTCATGGTCAGAGTCAAAGACTCCTGGGTTCAAACCTTTCACAGTTTTAAGAAGAAAAGGTAATGAGACAGGTGGAGAAAATATTCACATAATTTCAAAAAAATAAAACAAACTGTGGTAAGTACTGCTTGGCTGGCACAGTGAAGCGCAAGCATTTAATTTTATCGGCTGACCCACACTACATACTGTTCTAATTCTGTAGATAGCATACCTTGATTGTGATATATCTTCCACAGGTTTTCTGTTAAGTAGAGTTGAGTTTGGAGCTCTGGCTTGTACTATAGCTGCCAATGGTTTTGTGCCCCTGGGGAGAGTAACTGAATGTGCAGGAACTCCTTGTCCAACTCCTTCATAAATTACAGGATTAAATCCTGGGTTTTGACGGCCTGGTAATGGTGGCAAAGAGGGTATACTGGTAAGGGCATTAGATGAACCAGAGATGAAGTTTGCAGATGTCCCTCCCTCAAGGAAGTTGAGTTGCCTTCTCTGACGTCTCCTGGCATCTCTGCTGGCTTTCCAGTTCATTAAGAACCTTTTTGCAGTCTCATTGATTTCCTTGCCATCCAGCATTACTACAAAGTCAACAACATTAAAATGTACATTTAGGACACATAAACTGCAATAAAAATGATAGCTTTAAAACTATTACGTAGCATAGAATGGATGAAAAGTCATAAAAAATTCTTCAAGTCAAAAAAATTAACGACAGTCATTGCATCCAATTTATTTTTCTACTAAAGAGATCTTTGGTGTAATAATTCCCCAAAAAACATTTTCAGAGATTTGGTAGTCTTCTCACATTGCACTACATTAATAATATTTTTGTTATTCAATATTTTTTTAAAAAATTAAGGATTTTTTTCTTGAGTTTTTCATTTTTTAATCAAATGTCACTATAAACCACTTACCTAATGATCGAGACATAACTATGACTCTGTCTCTATACTTTTTCTTGTGACACAAAGTATTCCCAGTCATCTCTAACCTCCATACCGATGGCCATGCAGCCAACACTCTTGAAAGTTCCTTCAAATCAAAGACAAAAAAAAATTGTTATTTAACCGACAATATTATCACTAAAATTGCAATACACTGACCTTATCAGAATTAATTCCTGACATAAAACTAGGTCCATTCTTTTAAATGATCTGAGTAAGTTGGCCAATTGGAGTATGAGCCAGAGGATGAAGAAAATAACATGCATTTACCTTCATATCTGAAAGACAGTTATTTTCTGTGAAGAACTGTGTCATATTTGTCAGGCATTTTAACTCTTCAATTGAATCAATGTTGTTCTCAGATATGTTCAACACACACAGGCTTTTCTGTCAAAACAAGAAAAATAGCATGTGTTAATCTATTGTTATTTTTAAATTCCTGTTATCCTATCATCATCATCATTTCAACAAATAGTTTTAACAGCTCAGTCTGTTCACAGTTAACCTTGACTAGACTGATTCATGATTATTATGTCCGTGATACATGATTGCTGTCTTAGCAAACATTGTAAAATACTTACAGCAAGAGCTTGAAGTGATCGTGGCTCAAAGAGGAGCTTTTCTCCAGGAGGTAAAGTCTGTTTCTCTATGTGAAGCTCTCTTAAATTCTCTAACCTTTCTAATCCTTCCACAACTGTGATGGCATTTGAACCCAGGTATCTGGAAAGACAACAAGTCAATAACTTAGACAATACTTCTAACAGTGGAGTATTACGTCTTGCATAAGTTAACACAGGCCATCATCCACAGTAATCTACAGGATATTCCTCAGGCAGTCACATAGATTTCAAGTTACCAGGCACATAGTTATATCTTTTGGGTCTATTTTCTTTTTGTGTCTTATACTACATGAGCCAAGGGACAACCCAAGTCCCAGCTATAAAGCCCTGATTACTGCCTCACTGCTCTGAGGCTTTTATTTATCCTGACATTTAAAAATTGTGACCAAATATAAATTATCTGTAACCGAAACTGTTACCCTTTAAAGGGGGCAACCCTCCCTGCCAAAGTCAAGCCAGCTCAGCATAGCTGTGGCACAAGGTTTGAAACAGGCTTTATACTTTGGAAAAGTAAGCTTACTTACTGGCCCCAGGTCAAGAGTTGGACAGCATAATACACTGGATAAATCACTATCCAGTGGAAAGCCTTATCCACATTTTGAACTGCTGGGGCCAGGAGGTTTATTAAGAGGCCCTGCCAGGGTAAATTCTGACAAGCGACATGGCCCAAAAAGTAGCGACAGTGTGTAAAATGAAATCGCGACAAGAGACAACTGCCCTCGGCCAAATTGCGACAGTGACGGCAAAGCCGACAATAAGTGACAAGCATTTATAAACACCGACACGAGACGTTTTAAAATTCAGATGAGCGACATGGGACCCCCACCCCCCGGCAGGGCCTCTATTTAGGTAAGGTGAAACACCCTATATGCATGCATTAGGGTACTACGGCTGTTGACTTAATACAGACTTTACTACACGTGTAATGATTATTACTGTTGACACTCTAACTCAACAGTAATAACTCATAAAGAGGAATTACTTACAGCTTGGTTAATCTTTTAAGATTGTCTAGTCCCTCTATCTTTGTTATTTGATTTTTTTGAAGATATAGGTGAGTCAAGTTGCTTGCAAATCCAAGATTCTTGATCTTTGAAATGTTATTGTCATAAAGGTAGAGAACCGATAGATTGCGGCAGTGATGGAGATTATCCTGCAGCAATTGAAAGAAAACAAGACCATCATTAGTCTTTAGTCTCAACCCTAAAGGCGTCTGAAATTACTAAGCAAGGAAAACCATATGATTTTCAAAACTGTTTTGCCAAAAGTGGATTGGTAAGCTTCATTTAGATAAACCTGGTGGAAGCTTATGATAGTATGAAACAAAAATAAGCAAATACAGCACGTTATAATCAATAACAACTTTACCCAAAACCCTGCAAAACAAACATCGATCTGGTAAAGAGTCGAGAGAATATTTCACTTACGATCTCATCAATGTTCTTCTCTGAAAAATAAAGATGAGTTAATCGCCGTACGTACTGCTGTACAGTTTCATCTCTTCTTTTCTTTGTATGGCTGTGGGATTTCGCGATCAATTCTAATGAAATCTTTCCCATTTTCACGGAATGTTAAGATTCACTGCGGAAACCAAATAGTTTGAGCACTTTTATGAACATGTCACATGACCTGGAAAACATTACACGTTTCCTTGGAAACACATTTAGAGTCCAGTCCGCGCGAAAAATACGACTGAAAAGCCCTGAATACTAATTTGATGAGAACCAAAATGGCTGCCCGAACTTTCGGAGGGAGATGACAGGTTTGTAGAATAAGTCATTACAGGAACTAGTGAGTTCGATAGACTACTTCACAAACAACCTCATAGTGTGTCTTCTGCGTTATTAATCGAATATTTTTTAGTGAAGGACCGGTGAATCGTTCTTTAAAAAACAGCAGCTATTGCGTGTTGGGAAACAAAAAGTATTCCAGGTTCGTGCCGCTGAGGCAACAAAGTCAAATTTTAATGGTTATATTGGAGGACAAAGATCAGAATTCGAACGAACGCTTTTCATATGAAATGTCTGAAGAATCTAGAAGGGGAATTGGATGTGTCGGCATTTGACGTTTTATCATTGTATGATATTTTCAAGTTTATTTCAGAAAGTTAAATTTCGTAGCTTTATTGATCCCGATTTTGTTTTTCCGAGAACATAAATCTTTCCCTTATGACCTAAGTCACTTTAAACCGCAAGTAAGCTTAAATAGTTTTTGCACTCAAAATCGAAGGAATAATGTAGAAAATTAAAATAATCCTTGAAATTAGTAGCAGTTTTTGTTGTTTTCGTTCCATTTGGAGGGTGCGATATTCATTTGAAGTTATCCATGCATGCAAAAATTCGATAGTGTAACATAGTATTTTATAAGCGAACAATATGTGTCTTAATCCTCTTATTGAGCATTGATTTTTTTACAGTGATTACAAAGAGAGGTGCAATACATGTGAAGATCACAATAAATTTGAAATGTAGGCCGTCACGTCGATAGGAAGTAAACTTGACCAGTGTTCCGCATCATGTCCGGAGATCTGCAAGCTACGATCGAATTTTCCGTGGAGTTTTCGACGTTTCATAATGTCGACCTATTTCAACGAGGGTAGGTGCTAAAAAAAATAACCCTTATAACTCTAGAAAATTTTTTATGTACGTGGCATGAATGTTGGTTTTTGAAAACCCTTTCAATGGTGAGTTTTTTAATTTAATTGTGACTTTTAGGACTCTCTTTCAATTGACGTCATGTCTCTCATTTGCAAACTGTTTACCTATATTTTAAATTACTGAAAAACACAACAATTAAAACGTTTTCTCCTAAATTTTGATTGCATCAATTTTTTATTAAATATAAAATGCTTTTTGGACATTATGCCAACTGAGAGACAAGTGCGAGTAACTCAAGTTTTTGCTTTATAACTAAGTCAATCTTGTTTCAAATTAAAAGTCCACCTTAGTTGGCAGGCCACATTTGCATGTATGTTGAATCTATACTGAATAATTACCTTGGTGAGATGGGCAACCGTTGCCAAGTATTCAGAAAGATATAGAAATATATAGCTATAGTAGTTGCAGAAAGAGAGGTTGGAGGATGGGGGGAGGGGGGTAGGGAACCTTAGACCCCCACCTTTTGGGATGAAAAATGTTTTACCTGAGTTTTAATATTTTAGATCATCAGATTCAAAACATATGGAAAAATAATAAATACAGTTCCAAATTTTTCATTCACATGGTGACCTCATTGTCAACTTTGCAACACTTTTTTCTGTTCTTTTTACAATGTGTGAACTCCTTTTATTTGAGATTTTTAAGGGCACAGCTTGTGCCACTTGGTTTACCGAAAGGAGGGTAAGATTTTCACCTGTAAAAGAATGGAGTTAACAAATTTTGTTTCTATCCAGAATTAATTTCCTTCGGGATCAATGTTTTTACAAATGACTGATTTTGTTAGGCTTGGAGATGAAATTTTGTTATTGAATACTTGTCTTAGTAATACCCACACAGAGGTTAGCTAGCTCAGATTAAGGCTGAATGTACCATGGGGATGGTCGCACAGAGC